AGAACATCCCCTCCAAAACTCAGGTTGAAATGTAGTTGCCACTGTCATGGAATGGAGAAGAGGGAACTCTAAGTAGTGATTAGGGGACTGGGAGAATAGCTCAGAGGTAGAGTGCTCGCCTGGGTTCGATCCCCAGCACCACACATAAAAAGGGGTGATTAGTCCTACCTCACGGATGGATCAACACCGTTATTGAGGGAGTGGGCTAGTCATTATGGGTGTGGCTTTGCTATCGGTGTGAGCTCTCTTGCTCATGCATAGTTTTCTTCTTCCCTCCACCCCAGCCTCTTGTCCTCTCTTCCATGTGACACCCTCCACCACATCATCTTGCAGCAGAATCCTTTGTTCCTGGACTTCCCACCTTCCAGAACTGTGAAAACCCAATTTCTTGTACATTACTCAGTCTGTGGTCTCTATCAGACCAATGGAAAGCAGACTAAGACATACCAAGCTGCAAGAGAGACGTTAGGAGCGTAGTTCAGTGGTACCATGCTTGCCTAGCATGTGCAAGGCCCGGGGTACCGCCCCCCAGCACTGAAAGAAAAATAGAAAATGAAGAATAACTCTGTACTTCTCGCTTTTATACCACACTGATTTAAGTTCTCAGTGAAGTCATCCCTTTTAGTTAAAGCATTGTCTCCAAAAACTTCCCTCACTGATTCCATTCATTCTCAGGAATGGCAAAATGGTGATCATTTCTGAGATGGAGTGATGGATACACTTATCATTATATTGTTCTCTCTAATTTTCTGTATGTTTGAAACCTCCCATATTAAAAGATTTTTTAGGAACTTCTCAACAAAACTATGTAGCAATGCAACAATTATTTACTGCTTTATGAGCACACTGTGCAACAGTTGTAGTGTTATGGTCTAGGAATGTGAGTGTGAGTAAGACTTGGAGGTATGAATGTCATGGGTACCAGTTGAAAAACGTACAGGCTAAGAATCATGGGAAAGTACTATATGCGGAAGTGAAAAGCATACAGCTCACTCATACTAGAGGTGGTGGTAGTGACAGATTAGCCAGGGATGAATCTAAAAGGTAAATAAGTCAACCGCCTGGAAGGGGGAAGAGCCACGGTGAGAAAGTGGACTGGGTCATTCCAGATAGAAAAACCATCAGGTATCAAGATGTGGAAACAATGAGTTTGATATTCAACTATAAGTTCAAGTATTATATAGGATATAAACTAAGCTGTGTTATTATAAAAAGACCCTGAAGCACAATGGACTATGTAAGACTGATGTTCATTTCCTTTATGTAGTGGACCGGCAGGATGTAGGTAGTGCAGGTTCTGGGAGTTGCTTATCTGAATCCTAAGTGCCTTCCACATTATTGTTCTACCATACCCTAGGACATTGTGCTTGTCTGTATTGTGAAATGGAATTACTGTCTGGTTAGTGACTTTTCTCATTGCTGGGATAAAATGATCAACACCCACAAGTTAAAGGAGGAAAGGTTTATGTTGGCTCACAGTTCATAGAGGTTTACAGTCCATAGTCAGCTGGCTCCGAGGCAGGGCAGCATGGCATGGCAGAGGAGAAACAGTCCCTGGTAAGGAGGGCAGAAGCAGTGACTCTGCCTTCCTTCTTTCTCTTTACATTCCATCCAAGCTACGAGCCTATTTGTTGGTGCCACACAAACACAGGATGGGGTTACCCTCTTCAGTAAATCTATCAGCCAAAACTACACTACACTAAACAGTGGACCGGTCCTGTTATCACCTACCTATAATCCAATATCACACACACGATCCAGCCACCTGCCAAAAGCCCCAGCTATGAGCACATGAGGCTCTGGGGGGCTGTCTCTACATCTATGGAAGCCATAACACTGTCACATCCATGTCATAGCTCAAACGAAGGAATATACTTTTTGGTTATATGGCCTCACATATAATCAGTGTTTTCAAGGTGCCATAGAAAGGTTTTGTCTGCCTGTAGGATACAAATTCACTATCCATATGTTAAGTTTTCCCTTTTAATTATGGTTTTCAAATTTTCTATGTCCTTATTAATTTTGACAAAATTTGAAGGATCAAGCAGTCCGTACAATAGGTGCCACCATCTTTGTCACCTGTATCCTATTCATGAACTTGCTCCTTAGGTGTCCTGAGGCATCCATCTCTCCCTGCTTCAAAGTTTATGCTCTTCTAGACTTCTCTGAAGGGGAACAACACTTAACCCGTGGGATTGTTATTCTAATTAAATGAGATAGTGTTTGTAAAGTGCTTAGTACAATGTTTGCCACATTGTAAGCACTCAAATTGTAGTAATTATTATACTGAGACATAATGGTTATGGGCAGGAGCTTTGGATCCCAGCCAATCTGAATTCCAATACCATCTGGCCTCTCCGTAGCTGTGAGCCTGGGTGTGTCACCTAACAGCTCTGAGCTTCAGATTTCTAATGGAGAAAATAGTCCCACTGCACAAAAATGCCGTGAATTAGACATAGCTACTGTGCATTTTGGGGCTTTGCCTTCTAAAAAGCATGTGCATAAGTAATTTCTAAACATTTAATGGGGTCCTTTTATATACTTTATACTTTTTTATACACTAATGCTTGAAAGTATAATTTTCCACAGCTCCTTTTTTTATTTTAAAGAGAAAAACCAATAAAAACTGATACAAAATTTCAAAACAAGATAGTAGGGGAGTAATGATGGTTAGTACACTACTTATTGTTATCTTCAAAGTAGTTGCTCAAATTACAGGATATAGGCACAAAAGATAGATCAAACAATATAAGCCCAAACATTTCTTTTCAGTAAACTAATAGAAATTAGTAATATAGTTATTCTATCTTATATATATATTCACTTTTCCTTTTCCCTCCCTTCTTTTCTCCTTCCCTCCATCACAGTTTCTCTTTCCTGTTGAACAGTTTCCTCTCATTTCACAATATCTATTGTACATTTTGAGTCTTATTTACTCTTTCAGCTTCTTACACTAGGGAGACAATACATTGTTTATACATGTGAGACTGATTTATTTTGTTTATGACTATAGTCTCAAGTTGCATCCATTTACCTATAAAAGTCTCCATTTTGTCCTTATTTATGGCTGAGTAGTACTCCATTGTATAAAAATAATACATCTTTTTATCCATTCCTCCACTGATGGGCATTTGGGTTGTATCCAAGATTTAGCTATGACAAATTGTGCTGCTATAAACATGGGTGTGCATATATTGCTGTGGCATGATGATGTTTTTAATTCTTCTGGGAAAATACCCAGAAGGGGAATAGCTGGGTTAGGTAGAACCTCTAAGCCTAGTTTTTTGAGGAATCTCCACACTGATTTCCACATGGTTGCACCACTCTACCCTCCCACCAACAGTGGAGAAGTGTTCCTTTTTCCCCACAGCCCCTCAAGCATTTGTTATCGGTTGATTTCTTGATGATAGCCATTCTTTCTGGGGTAAGATGGTATCTTGGTGTTGTTTTAATCTCCATCTCTCAAATGAAGAATGATGTTTAATATTTTCTCATATATTTATTTACTATCTGTATTTTTTCATCTGAGAAGTCATATTAATCTCAGATGCCCATTTTTGGTTGGGTTTTTAAATTTGGGGGGGTCTGATATTTTCAATTATTTATATGTTCTAAATATAAGTCCTTTGAGAGACTGTTGGCTAAATTTTTTTACCACTCTGTGGGTTGTCTTTTCACTTTGTTGACGATTTCTTTTGTTGTGCAAAAGCTTTTTAATGAGATGAGATTCCAGTTGTTGATTCTTTGGAGTATTTCCTGTGCAGTTTGGGTTTTATTCATCAACTCTCTGCCTACCACTCTCTTCCTACACCAATGTCTTCAAGATTTCTACCTACTTTCTCTTCCAGTAGATTTAGGGCTTCTGTTTTAATATTTAGACCTTTGATCCATTTTGACTTTAGCTTAGTGCATGGTGATAGACATGGGTCTAATTTTAGTCTTTGGAATGTAGAGAGCCAATTTTTCCAGAACCATTTATTAAAGAGACTATCTTTCTTCCAGTGAACATGTTTGGCCCCTTTGTCAAACATAAGGTAGCTTAAGTGTGTCTGTAGTTGTGTTTTCATCTTCTAATCTGTTTCATTGATCCTCAGGTCTGGTTTTTTGCCAGTATCATGCTGATTTTATCACAGTAATTTTGTAGTATAATCTCAAGTCAGGGACTGTGATGCCTCCTGCCTTGCCTTTGTTGCCCAGAATTGATTTTGCTATTCCAGGTCTCTTCTGGTTCCAAATGAATTTTAGGAATGTTTTCTCTAGTTCTGTGAAGTATGCTAATGGTATTTTGATTGGTATTGTATTAAATCTGTACAGTACTTTTGGGAGTATGGCCATTTTCACTATGTTGGTTCTTCCTATCCATGAGGAAGGGTTATCTTTCCATTTTCTGATATCCTCTTTTTCTCTTTTTTAAGAGTGGTGTAACTTTCAATGTATTGATATTTTACTTCTTTTGCTAGATTGATTCTTAAGTATTTCAATTTTTGGATGCTATTATGAAGGGTGTGATTTCCCTAATTTCTCTCTCAGTGAGTTTGTTGTTTGTGTACAGGAATGCTATTGATTTTTGAGTGTTGACTTTGTATCCAGCTACACTACAGAATTTGGTTAAACAGCTCCCATTTTTTGTCTTAATTTCTAAAAGTCACCCATGTTGTGATTGTTTGTAAAATAAAGTCTATTTAATAAACCAGTTATAGCCAGTCTGTATAAGAATCACATGGATTAATTTCTAGGCACTGCTTTTGAAATCTGTGCTTTAGAAGTTTATGCTACTTCATGTTGTCAACTTGACTGGCTTAAAAGACTCATAGGGAGATGTTAGTGTTGTGAGGGCATCACCCTCATCATTGGCTTAACCTATTGATGAGTTCATAGGTGAATCGAGGGGGCTAGTTAGAGTACCAGGGTCATGGGCCCTGTGGTCTCAGGGAGTATAGATGGGCCCTGGCCTCTTCTTCTTTGTCATTTCTCCCCTGTATTCTACTTCCCAGGCACCACAGAGTGAGCAGTTTGGCTCCACCAAAATCATCTGCTATGCTGTTTCTGCCTTCAAGCCAACCAACCATGGACTAAAACCTCTGAAACTATGAAATCTCTCCTCCCTGTTACAGATGTTGAGGTATTTTATCCCAGCAACAGAAAGCTGGCCAATACAAGGCTGAATCATGTCCCCCTACAAAAAAATACCCTGTACTTTAAAATGTGACCTTCTTTGGAGATAGGGCCTTCATAGGGGAAGTCAAGTTACAGCAAGATCATTAGGTTGAGCCTAATTAGGTAATTTGGACACGTACACACAAACACACACAGAATATCATGCAAACATGCAGGTAGAGATCAGGGCACTTGGAAAAGAATCCAAGGAGCAAAGATTGCCAGCAAACCACCAGACTGAGGTCTGGACAGATCCTCCCTGATAGCTCTCAGGAAGAAGCTACCATGCTGACACCTTGACCTCAGACTTCCTGCCTCCAGTTTGTGAGGAAATAAGTTTCTGTTGTCTAAATCACCTAATCTATGGTATTTTGTTATGGCAGACTGAGGAGGCTCATATCCTTTTTGTTGCCCACCTGTGGGAGGAGATGATTATTTTGAAATCATTGTAGGCATAAACAAAGGACTGTTGCTAGGAAATACTGCAGCTGGAGGGCTTTTCTTTTCTTCCATCCATATCTCTCAATCTCTCAATCTCTCTCTCTCTCTCTCTCTCTCTCTCTCTGTCTCTCTCTCTCTCTCTCTCTTTCTCCTCCCGCCCCAGTACTGGGGAATGAAACCAAGGCCTTCACAATGAATTACAATCCCCATCCCTTTTTATTTTGAGACAGGCTCTTGGTAAGTCACTTAGTTGCCCAGGGTGGGCTTGAACTGCAATCTCCCATATTGCTGTGATTACGAGCATGAACCACCATGCCCAGTCACAGCTAAACTTTTGCAATTCGGTTGTGTGCCATCAAGTCTGTATTTTGAAAACAGTGTCCAGGGCTGCAATCTGCTTCATCTCATCTCCACTGAACAATAAATGACAGTCAAGAGCAGTGGACGAGGGATGAAGAAGGGGAGGTATACTCAATGTATTCAGGATAACCTAACCTTTATTCAAATAAAGCCATTATTCCAGAATTCCTTTATTATAGCAAATGGTTAGAAGATAAGGTACCTAGGGATCTACTGCTCCAGTTCAACAGTTAGCCACAAGTGGGATTTTTTTTATCAGTCCTGGGGCTTAAAGCCACAGCTCACTCATGCCAAACATGTGCACCACCATGGAGCTATAGCCTGATACCCATATATGGCCAATTTTGATTCCACAGTGCTCCATCCCGCCTAGCTATTTTGAATTAAATCTCAGGCTGTATATAATTTTTTCACTATTCACTGAGATCTAATTTACATGCAGGATAGTTTACTAGTTTAGTGCAGCATCCAGTGGCTCTTAGTATGTTTACAGAAGTACACAATGATCCCCACATTTTAATTTTGGAACATTTCTATTGACCTAAAAGAAAACCCTGTAACCACTAGTTGTCACTCTCTATTTCCCAAGCCCCCCACTTTATATCATTTTGCTTGAAAATATTTCATACGCACACCTAAAAAGATAGAAACTACTTTTAAAATATGTAACAATATCATCAAGTGTAATTTTACTAAATACTTTCTTTTTTCAAAACTAGGAAGAATTTCTTGAGAGAAAAAAAGCTTCTGTCTGAGAGGGAAAGAAGGGGACCCGGAAAGTAGTAGTCTGCCAACCCCGCTCCTCAAGGGTGTTTTATTGAGTAAAGCCACGAGGTGAGGTGAGCTTAAAGTGGAACAGAACTCCAATAATTTCTTAATATCAAAGATAAAATCAATGTCTGATGTTTCTTGATTATTTTATAATTTTTTCAGTTTGTTTCCTTGAATTTGTCTCCAAATAACATTCTTTCATCTCGTATTGCAATTGTTAGATATATTTTGTAGGCTTGTTTTTCTGTGTGGAGGAAAGTGCTGGGGATCAGTCTTGTGCATGTTTGTGCATTCTACCACGGGGCTAGACTCTGGCCCATCTCTTAGATTTCTTTTAATCTATGGATTATTTCTCCCTTTATCTCATTTTTTTCTTACAAATTTTGATGTAAGAAACTACATTATTTGTCTTATAAATCATCCCAGTGTCTGGAATTTTCTGATTATATCCCTGTGTTGTTCTTACTATATCCACTGTGCTGTGTAGTTCCTATAAGTTAGTAGCTCGATCTGGGGCCATAATTAGGTACAAGTGTTTGTCTAAGATTCCCTCATAGGCAGAAGTATTGCATTAAACTTTCTTTTGAATGTCCTTTTGTTATGAGATACATCAGTACATAAAGATAATTACATATATATATATAAAGATAATTATATAGTTTAAAAACAATACTGCTAGAAGTGTAGTTCAGTGGTAGAATGGTTGGCTGGCATGGTTTCCATCTCCAGCACTGCAAATAAAATAAACAGAACACTCAGCACCTACCACGAGGTCAAAAGACAATACGTTTTCACCAGTACCTTAGAAACAACCAGTTTTCCTCTCTAACTAATCTTCCCTTCCTAGTCTATTCCAGAGGTAACCATTTTTGTGCTAATTATTCCTTCACTTTCCTTACAGCCTTTAAGAATGTATTTCTCCAGCCACCCACACTGCAGGTGGGACCAGCAGCCCTGCAGTGGGGAAGAATCTGAAGGAGCAATGAGAACGGAGACACTGTTTTCTGAGGGGTCACGCAGAGCAGCAGTTGGTGAGTGTGATGAAGACTAAGAACACAATACAAAGAAACAGTGAATTGAAGAGTTGGTTCTTCGAAAGAGTAAATAGGGTTGGTAAACCCGTAGCCAAGCTTATCAAAAAGAGGAATGAAAAGGCTCAATTTCATTGAGTTAAGAATGAAAAGGGTGAAATCACAACAGGTCCTGCAGAAACCCAGAAGATCATCAATCCCTACTTCAAGAAACTGTATTCTAGTAAGATGGAAAATACAGAAGAAATGGATGGATTCCTAGACACATATTAATTACCAAAGCTAAATCAAGAAGATATAAACATTCTAAATAAATCAATATCAGTCAATGAAATTGAAGGTGTAATTACAAACTTATCAACAAAGAAAAACCCATGTCCAGATGGTTTCCCTGCTGAATTCTGCAAGAAATTTAGAGAGGACCTAAATGCTGCTATTATGTTTATGAGATTCATCCACATTGTTTCAAGTTAACTATAGTTCATGCATTTTTTTTTTTTTTTATCTTTTTGAGACAGGGTTTCACTACGCAGTTCAGGCTGGGCTTGAAATCACTTTGTAGCCCAGGCTGGCCTTGAACTTGCAGCAGTCCGTCTGCCTCAGCCTCCTGAGTGTTGGGATTATAGGCATGTAACACCATGCCCAGCCACCTCATTTGTTTTTCACTGTTGTATTTTCCCTGTATGAATATACTACAATTTGTCCTTTTTTGTTGATGGACATTTAGATTGTTCCCAATTTTTGATACTACAAAATTATGAACATTATGTGGGGGGGGCACTAGGAGTTGAATCCAGGATCTTTGTGTTGAACTGCATTCCCAATCCATTCTATTTTTTATTTTGAGACAGGATCTCTATAAGTTTCCTAGACTGAAGTTTTACTTGCAATCCTCCTACCTCAGCCTCACATAGCACTGGGATTATAGGTATAACTCGTTCAGTTCATATGTGAAAGTTTCACTAAGGTATATATCTAGGGGCAAGGCAGCTGGTTGGAGAGTATGCACATGTCCAATTTAAGTAATACCAAATTATTTTCCAAAATACTTATACCAAAGCTAGGCATAGTGGTGCATATCTGTAGTCTCAGCTCCTTGGGAGGTTGTGGCAAGAGGATCCAAAATTCAAGGTCAGCCTGAGTAATTTATTTGAGACTCTGTCTCAAATTGAAAAATAAAAAGGGGGGCTGGGGATTTAGCTCAGCGGCAAAGCGCCTGCCTGGCAAGCGCAAGGTCATGAGTTCGGTTCCCGGTACCGGAGAAAAACCAAAAAAATAAAAATAAAAATAAAAATAAAAATAAAAATAAAAAGTGCTGGAGATGTAACTCAATGGTGTGCTTAGCATGCAGGGGCCCTGGACTCCACTCCCAGTATCAGAAAAGAAAAAATCCCAAGTGCTTATACCCATGTAGATTTCCACCAGTCATAGGCAAGAGTTCTCCATTGCTCTAAATTGTTCCTAGCACTTGGTATTGTTAGATTTTGCCAATTGGTGGTTTCAAACTGTTAATGAAAGTGTGTAGACTTGTCCTTTATAGTTAATATTTCAACTGAATTCACACAAATCCTACTGAACATTCCTTAGGCTTTTCCATTATTTCCAGGAAAACATATAGCTTTGTATTTTTAAAAGGGCATTAAAGTGTTTCACCAGTGAAGCTATGTCATAATTTTTGAAGAGAAAAAGGGTGAAAGAGATGTTTGTATAATTTAAGAGCTGGAAGCCTGATAAGCTGTTGGTAAGATGGATAATCACTTACTTAGCTATATGACAGCTAAATGCTATAGTCCTAACAATCTAGAGAAAATACATTCTTTGTGTGATTCATATAAGCTACCCCATCCAACACAGAAACAAACTTTCTGATTTCTCCTCTCTTAAGTCATTCTTCCTGGATGCTTCTTGGCTCATCAGAAGCTTCCTCATGATAGGATTCCTACCACGACGTTTGGAACCAAAGTTTCACACTTGGGCTGTTTTGAAATTTGTAATCACCTGTTTTCCTTTAAAACCTGCAGCAATTAGATTTACATAAAAGGCTGTGGTTTAGATCTTAGCAATTGCAGGGCTCACCAGCCCTCTTCTCTTCCCAATACCAGCCTGACTCTTTCTTTATCTCCTCATGTCTAATGTAGTCATGCTTCCTTCCCCAAGTCCTCTTTCCAATCTGAGGCAGACACTAGACTTTTATTTGTTCAAGGAGTGGGGAGAGTCTTGCTAAGGTTCCAAGGCTGGCCTCAAACTCCTGGTTCACGTAATCCTGCTGCCTCAGCATCCTGAAGAGCTGGGACTGTGGGTGTGCACCACTGTACCCAGCTGATATTTAGATTTTTAAAACATTTTTAAATTGTGGTAAAATACACATGTATTAAATTTACCATCTTGTCTTGTGCATGCATGTGTGTGTGTGTGTGTGTGTGTGTGTGTGTTCTTGGGAGCAAATCTAGGGTCTAACACTTGCTAGGCAAGTGCTTTACCACCAAACCATAAATTCAGTCCCTATCTTATCCATTTTTAAGTGTACAGTTTGGTAGTGGTTAAGTGCATGCATCTCTAGAACACATTCTAAATTACAAAACAAAACTCTGCATCCTCTGAACAGCCTCCCGGCACTGCCTGCTTCCAGTCCCTGGTAGTTCCATTTTTGTCCTCTTTCTCCATTAATTGGACCATCTACTTCATGTAGTGGACTTATACTGAGGCAGACGCAAAGGGCCTGATGCTCCTAGAAGTACTTTTTATTCCTCTTTGTGGTTGCCTCAACATCTTGGAGGCAGCCCAACATCGGACACCCCATAGCTGCTCCTGAGACATTTGCTTGGGCTGCAGCAGGCTTTGGTTTCAGACCTTGCCCAGATGATTTGACCCACAGCCTCTCTGGATGATTCTGCCCTTTCACAACCCTTTTTGGTCAGGTCCACAAAGGGCTGCTCCCTTCTCAATGACCAAAAACCAAGTCTCTGATGATGCGCATATGTGAGCCTGCCTTTTGTGTATGAGCACTGCCCCATATCCTTAGCTTGTGAGCTCATGTATTGTCTCCCTTTATGCTGCAATGTAAATTCTAATAAGGCCTCTTTTAGATAGCATGTTTTTGCCTATTCTTGGTTTCTGTCTTGAGTAGAGCATGCTGCGTGGGTATGCTAAAGGCTGGTAACATCAAAAGCCTCCGGTGCTGAAAGCATCCAGCGTTCAGGGATGGTAACACAGAGGGTAGTTAGCAACAGAGAATGATAAAGAGCAAAGGACAATTACCAGGAACCAGCAGCATCTCTAGTGGCCAGAGGAGTTCTTGAGGCTTGCTGGTAGCTGCTAGCTCCAAGCACCAAGGAGGGCCACTAACACTCATAGTCGATAGCTCCTGATGTTCGAAGTTCAGTACTCTGGACACTAAAGAGCTACACTTTGTTAATTTGTGAATTCTATGTAAGTTAAGGCAATGCTGTAGGGAGAAAGGATCCTTTCTCCACTGTTGGTGGGAGTGTAGACTGGTGCAACCCCTGTGCAAATCAGTCTGGAGATTCCTCAGTAAACTAAGACTAGAGATCCCATTCAACCCAGCTATTTCCTTTTAGGGTATTTTTCCAGAAGAACTACAAACATCATACCACAGCGATATATGTGCACCCATGTTTATAGCTCCTTAATTTGTAAGAGCTAAATCGTAGAAGCAACCCAAACAATGGATAAAAAAGATGTATTTTTACATAATGGAATATTATTCAGCAATAAAGAAAGATAAACTTGAGGCTTTCATAGGTAAATGGATGCAAGTAGAGTCCATACCCATAAGTGAAATAAATTAGACCTGCATGTGTAAATACCATATTGTCTCACTAGTACAAGAACCTGAAAGAGTAAATAAAATATGAAAGGTATAATAGATATTGTGAAAGGGAAAGAAACTGCTGAAAGGAGGGAACAACTGGGATGAGGAAAAAGAAAAGAAAGAAGGGAAAAAATATGTGTGTATACACACACACATACACACACAGGGTAGCTGAGAGAGTCATACTACTGACTTCTATTGCATTATTGAAAGGAATAGTTAATGTTTAATTGTTTGATCAATCTTACATGCCTATATTTGTTTAACTGAGTAAGCAATTTGAAGATAACAATATGTAATATAACAACGATTGTTAATTTCCTATCACCTTGTCTGAAATTCTGTATTGCTTCTATTGTTTGAGTGTTTTTTTTTTTTCTGCAAACAGTACAAAGCATTGTGTAAGCCCTTTATTCAACTTGCTCAATGATATATCTCACACAGCCATAGCACATTGCCAAAATCAGGGCTTGCCAATGATACAACCCTACTAACTAAACTGAAGACCTTTTTGGGTATCTCAATTTCTACATTAACTCTTTTTTTAGGTATATATGTCTCTTAAATATCATTATATATATAGATTTGTATAATCATCACCACAGCCAGGAAACAGAACTATTTCATCAACACAAAGACACCCTTCATGTTACCTCTAGTAGTTACAGTCTCCTCCGATCTCAACCCATGACAATCAGTGATCTGTTTTCCGTCATCAAAATTGTTGTTTATGTCTGTTTGTTAATGTATTTTTGTCCTTTATATTTAAAAATTAAAAAAGCAATGAAACCCGAGCCAATTGGTCACATGTTGGTGGCCTATGGAAAGATCCTTCCCTTTATTTTATTTTATTTGTTTTTGGTTTTTTTCCAGTACCAGGAGCCAAACTCATGACCTTGTGCTTGCCAGGCAGGCGCTGTGCCACTGAGCTAAATCCCCAGCCCCAAGATCCTTCCCTTTAGAGAGCCCTGAAGAAGAGGTGGGCAGAAGTGACAGGCATAAGCAGTGGAGAAGTAGCTCAAGAACTAGCCTTTTTCTGACTTCCATCTTTCATGTGGTTAAAGAGCCACACTAGCCGGTGACAATATAGTATTTGTCCTTTTGTGACTAGCTAATTTCACTTAGCAGAATATCCTCAAGATTGACCTATATTGTATCATGTTTCAGAACCTTCCTCTTTTTTCAGGCTAAAAAAATCCTCACTGTATGTACTGACCACATTTCAAAAATCCATTCTTCTGGGTTGCTTCTACCTTTTGGCCTCTGTGATTGATGACACTAGGAACATCTCTTAATCATCCTGCTGTCAGTTCTTTTGGGTATATATTGAGGAGTGGAATTGATAGGTCATATGGCTTTCAAATATTTTGAGAAATCATATATTATTTTCCATAACAAGCGTCTTCAATCGACAGGCCATGAACCGCTCACTGGTTCATGGCTTGTAGGGAACCAGGGGCACAGCAGGAGACTAGCAAGAGAAGTGTCATCGGTATGCACAGCCACTCCCCATCATCTGACTTGCTGCCTGAGCTCTACCTCTAGCAGACCAGCAGCAGCATTAGAATCTTATAGGAGACCCAATGTGAACTAAGCGTGAGAGGGCTCTAGGGCGTGGACTCCTTAGAAGAATCTAATGCCTGATGCTCAGAACTGGAGCTGAGGCAGTGAGGCTGGCTCTGAGGAGGAGCTCCAAATACAGATTACACTAGCAGAGAGGTTTGACTGCACAGAGCCGTAATGACATAATAAAGCAATTGCTTATGCTCATGTCAAAACCTTATCAGTTCTTTGCAAAAGGAAAAGGGACTAAGAGACAGAGGGAGGGGAAGGGGAATGGAGGGGAAGGGAATAAAATAGAATTAAAATGTGTTATGTACATTTTCCAATTCCCCACAATGAATGTAATCATTATGTACTGCAAACATGTATTAATAAATTTTTTAAAGGATTAGTCATGGAAAAAAAACCCTGTTAGTGAGTAACAAGCAAAAATTCAGCTGCATCCGGGGGCAGGTTTCATAGTTGTAAACGTGTTGAGATATTTCAGTTGTACATTGGCAGGCTTTAAATCAGAATCTGACACTTGTTTTAGTCCATGTGTGGCCCCCCACGATTTCATTTACCAATTCCATCTTTCCTCCTCCCCAGCAAGTGCACTTGTTTCTGTCACAGTTTTGATGTGTCTGCAAGCTAACCCTGGCCAAAATGAATAAAGAGCAAGTGCCACTGGAGAGCTTCTCGGAGGAGGGGGAAAGACCCTATGATGAGGCATCAGAGGACTCTAAGTTTGCATAGAAAGCTATGTTTAACAGAAAATATTGAGTCTCAAATAAATTACAGGTTCCTTCCAACAGGTGATTCAGCTTCTTCACGCCTGCTTTGTGCAGTATAATGGCAATCAGCTATCCAATGAACCTGAAAAACCTTCAAGACTTCTTTGCCACATGGAGAACCAGCATGCTACATTAAAAGACAAGCCTCTGGAGGTTTTCAAAAGAGAAAAAGTGTGAACATAAAGAACCAAAGTACTTACTGAAGGCCACCACTTCATCACATGTGTCTGCACTGAGAGTATCATTCTTAGTGGCTAATTAGATTGCTAAAGCTAAGAAGCCCTTTGCTGTTGGTGAAGCATGGATCCTGCCTGCTGTTAATGACATTGATCACGAACTTTTGGGAGAGGCTGTAGTCTAAAAGGTAGCACACATTCCTTGATCAGCTAGCAACATAACTAGATGAATGGGCAAATTAGTAGGGGATATCAAGACACAGTTGTTAAAGAGGATTCATGAGTCACTGTGGTACGCAGCCCAGGTTGTTGAGTTTACCCACCTTGACAAAAAGGCAACAATGCTTGTTTTTTTGTGATAAAGTTTATAGGAGGATGTGCATGTGTGTATGTTACGTGCACTTTTGTTGCTAACCAATACCACAGCTGCAGAACTGTTCATATCTTTGAATGATTACAAATCAAGAGAGCTTAGTTGGTCATTTTGTGTCAGTATATGCATGATAGGATGGCCCCATGACTGGACAGCTTTCTGGTTTTGCTACTCAGGTCAACGAGGTTGCTTCTGAGTGTCAGTCTCGGCGCTATGTCTTTAACATTTTGACCTGTCATAAAACTGTTAGCTAAACTTAACAACTTTTGCAGGATGTGATTGAAATTATCAGCCACGTTAAAGTACATGCCCTTAACTCATGGCTGCTCATGCAGGTCCGTGAGGAGATGGACAAAGAGCACACTGATGTTTTATACATAGAGGTGAGATGGCTTTCTAAAGGTAGATTAATGGTCAGAGTTTCTGAATTACAAGAGCCATGCCAGAGACTTCTTTGCAGTAGTGTCACTGTTTCTTGCTGGGGACCTGGCTAAGGTCCCCAACAGCCAGTATGAGGGGCATGGCGAAGGATAAAATAAGAGATGGAGACCATTTAGCAATGCATGAAGAGTGGGCCTGGGAGGTCAGTGCCTCAGGACGGGCAAAGACAAAGACTTTCCAGCTCGCTACTACTTGTATTAAATAGCCTGTGTACGGGGTGTGGTAGTGAGTGAGTCCAGGAGTACTAATGGCAATTACTGTGGGCTGGTGAAGAACAAAACCTTCTTCCCAGGATGAGACAGGGCCCAGTAAAGAAACTGTAGTTTCCTGGGCAAAACTCTCACTACTGCCGCTACATTGCTTCAAAGGTCCTTGTCCTCAGCAGGCCTCACCTTGCCCTGTGAGCACCACAGGGTCACCAGCCATAGGGTTTCAGCTGCGACCAGGAGAAAGCAGAGAGTTTCCACGTTCCAATTCGGCTTACGGGGGAGGATAAGGATGGCCTCCGACGTCCTCTACACTCCGTTTATAACCTGTGCTCCCCAACCGTCTCCCATCACCCCCAGATGGAACCAACTAGGTGCAGGAAAGTGAGCTCAGGGCCCCCACTGATTCCGCATTATGGTGAGTTGTGTAATTATTTCATACATATCACAGTGTAATAGTAGCAATAAAGTGCACAATAAATATAAAGCACTTGAATCATCCCAAACACTCCCACCCTAGTCTGTAGAAAAACTGTCTTCCACAGTACTGGTCCTTGGTGCCAGAAGGTTGGAGGCTACTGTTCTTTGGGGACTACTGTTCTATAGTGACTTCAGCACAGATAGTTAAGTTATTTAGAAATATTGTAGGCAGTCAGATAGTGCTGGACCCTCGAGAGGTCAGGGCAAAAGACAACCATGGCCGGAGGCCAGGCTTCCAGAAAAAGAGGAATGACCACATCCACATACTTCCCTTAGGCATAAACAACAGTGACCAATATTCCAAACAGACACCATCACCTTGGGGTAGAGGACCAAAACCTCCTGAACCCACCCCTTCCAGGAAGGTCCTTGTCCGTCCCGTGTGCGCTTGCTATGTGACTTGCTTCCCCATTTGATCCCCCTTTCAGCAATATTACCTAAGTGACTATACTTGTAATCTGATTAGCTGACTATAGTTCTGTCCCATCTTGAACCTGCCTCACCTCAGGGCTTTGCTCAGTAACACACCCAGGAGAAGTAGGGTCTTTCGGTCCCCCACTTTCCGGCCCACTTCTGACCCTCTCAGAGAGAAGCTTTCTTTCTCTCAATGAATTCTTCCTACTGCCAACCTCTTTTGTTCCCAGAATTTATTCCTTGATTTCAGAGAACACAAACTCGGCATTTTGGACAAATAGCATGTTGGGAGTTATATTTTCCTTATTTTATTGGGATTATTTGGCGGTAGTGTATCATACGCCCTATATCAACTTCGTGGTAATAGCCACTTCGAGTTTCTGCCATGCCCTAGAGAGTGACACGATTGTACGGTATACCAATTCTTAGGAAAAAAACAGAATGGCTAAGAGTAAATGCTGACAATGTTTATGCTTTATTGGAAAATGATTTTAAAAATTAAAAGCACAGAGTTCCCATAATTGGGAGAGACGTAATCCATTTGTTCTATAGCCATCATTTACCAGGGGTAAACCGGAACACAAAGTGGTCTGCGAAGGGCGAAGGGCGAAAGGAAAAAAATCAGGAGTGGCAAACAGAACGTTCCAGTTCTCAGCCTGATGCAAAGAACATTCTCAACTCAAAATATTACGCTAGGAAGAACAAGAGCTATGCAGAGTTTCATGCAAAACATCCTTTAGGATGTTCGTTCATGTTGTTTTCCCGGCTGTTAACCTTCCTAATCGCTTTGGGTGACATTGAAACAGTCTGTTTTTCTAGATCCCCCCAGTTCACAGGGTCCTGGGCTTCCTAGGGGGTGAAGGGGGAGACAAAGAAAACTAGCTTACAATTGAGCTCCACCAAACGTAGAATAAAACCCTTGGAAGCAGCAGTGTGCCGCACCGGCCTCAGAGTGCGCCAGGAGGGAGGACTGGGGTTCCCTGCCGCGCGCCCCCACCCCCCGGAATCCAGACCGGAGGGTCGGGGACTCCCAGGGACTGCACAGCAGCCCGAGCGGTGGTGAACTTCCCCGCGGGCCGCGCCCAGTCGCCCCCGCCG